GCATGGAATGGCCAGGGAAAGGGAGCCAGAGGCACTGCGGGAGGGGACCGGGAAGCCGGGACCACGCTGATCCTCTTTCCATCCTTCCGTCTCTTCCTTGCCCAAGTCACTCCTTGCTCAAAGACGATTCTCCCTGTGAGCCGGGAGGACCAGTGGAACGCGGGCTCAGCTCTGCCCCCATACCCGAAAGTGCCCACAGAGTTCTGTCTTTGTCCTTTACTTGCTCCAGAATTTGTGTTGGGATCCTTTGGAGCAGCTCCTGGGAATCTTTGCGGCAGGACATGGGGACAGGGCGAGCCCTTGGGCTGTTCCTTGGGTGTGGGGCCGGTCCTGGGGGGTCCCAACCTCCGAGCAGACCCAGGGCAGCCCTGAGATCACCCAGGGAGGGGGCAGAGCTGGAGGTCAGCTCAGGGAACCTCTTCCCTCCGTGCTCTCCCAAAATGCCTGCACAGAGCACGGCATGGATCCAGGCTCCGGCTGCTGAGCCAGGTTTATGTAAGCTGCTGATTTGCAGTATCAAGAGACATCCAAGAACCGGCTTGTCTTTGGAAAATGTACAAATCCGTGGCATCTGCCACCGAGCAATTGCTGTAGCAGCAGCCCAGGATTTGTCTTGGTCCCAGCCCCTTGGAGAGGTTCTGCCATCTCCCAGCTTGGCTGCGAGTCCGCGTTGAGCACTTTTCAGGAGCAAGGACAGAGCAGGAGTGCCAAAGGCTCTGTCCCTCTGTCCCTCTGTCCCTCTGTCCCTCTGTCCTTCAGGGATCTGGTGCTGCTGTTCCCCAGCACCCCCGGGCTGTTCCCTGTGTGGCCCCACAGCCCCTCCAGCCCCGGCTCTGCGGGGCCCCTGCACGGGAACTCCTCCCTCGGCAGCTGCAGGATGCGGGGCTGGCGGGTCCCCAGGGTGTGACAGCCCTGCCTTTCCTGTTGTTGACAGCAGCCCCACGTCCCTGCACCTCCCTGGGCAGCGGCTGAGCCCTTCTGCTGCCTGGAGAGCTCAGGTGGAGATGGCACGGGCAGTGTGCCACGGTAGGGGAGGTGGCTGGGGATAATGCTGCTTGTTCCAGGAGCCAGGGACTGGGGGAGAGAGATGACTTCCAGACTCCTGGAGAGACAAGGATACGGTCCTGCCCTGCCTGCTGACCCAAACCAGGCATTTAGCGGTGGCTTGGCAGTGCCGGGTTGGACTCCGTGATCTTAGAGAGCTTTTCCAATCTAAACAATTCTATGGTTCCATGTGTGATCTGGCTTGGGATCATTTTCAATCACCTGGGACTGGGGCAATGGCTTGGGATGCCCTGCAGCCAGCCGGGATCGGGGCGGTGGGCTGTGTTTTCTGGCAGCTCTGACACGGTTTTGACGGTTTGTGCTGCAGGAGGGAGCAGCGGGAGCTCACCATGGCCCTGGCAGAGCCCGCGAGCTGTGCCAAAGGCGGCGAGGACAGCAGCCCCTTCCCCGAGATCATCGAGCTGAACGTGGGCGGGCAGGTGTACATCACCCGGCTGCCCACGCTGCTCAGCGTGCCCGGCTCGCGCCTCTGGCAGATGTTCACGCAGCAGAGCACGCGCTCGCTGGCCCGCGACAGCAAGGGCCGCTTCTTCGTGGACCGGGACGGGTTCCTGTTCCGCTACATCCTGGATTACATGAGGGACCAGCAGCTGGTGCTGCCCGAGCACTTCCCGGAGCGCGGCCGCCTGCAGCGCGAGGCCGAGTACTTCATGCTGCCCGAGCTGGTGAAGCTGCTGGTGCCCAAGCTCAGCGAGCAGAACTCGCTGGGGGACGATCCGTGCCAGAGCGACCCCGAGGAGCCGTCCCCGGGCGCGGACGCCGCGCGCAGCCTGGGCTCGGCCGCTGCCGCCGCTCTGCCCAGCGCGGGCACCGAGGGCCGCAGGGCGGGGTTCATCACCATCGGCTACCGCGGCTCCTACACGCTGGGCAGGGACAGCCAGACGGACGCCAAGTTCCGCAGGGTGGCCCGGATCATGGTGTGCGGCAAGACCTCGCTGGCCAAGGAGGTCTTTGGGGACACCTTGAACGAGAGCAGGGACCCGGACAGGCCCCCGGAGAGGTACACGTCCAGGTACTACCTCAAATTCACCTTCCTGGAGCAAGCCTTTGACAAACTGGCCGATGCCGGCTTCCACATGGTGGCCTGCAACTCCACGGGCACCTGTGCCTTCGCCCACGAGCAGACGGACGACAGGATCTGGACCTCTTACACCGAATATGTTTTCTATCGTGAGTGACACAAAACCAACCCTCCGCCAACCAACCGCTGACTGTCCCTTTCCTGTCCCGTGCTGGCTGTGGCCTAGAAGGTAGAGATCCATCCCCGAATCCCGGCGTCCTCCCTTTGCCTCCTTTTCAGTTGGTTCTTGGGTTTTTTCCCCTCCTCCTTGCTCCACGTTGAACCTGCCCAGCTCTTCCTTGTAGCAGCTGCTGACCACCAACCTTCCTCCCTCTCCGTGACCTCTGCAGTGGCTCCCAACCCTCCCTGGATGTGCGGACTCGGACACTGCTGTGGACGTGGGCTGGGTGGGAGGGGTGGGACACACTGGACACTGCTCTGGGATGCCATTCCTGCAGCTGGATGGGCTCGGACACTGGACTGGGCTCTGTGTCCCGTGCAGCTCCACAGGATCCTGCTGCACTCACCGGGGATTCAGAGAGGAATCCTTGGGATAAAAACATGGGAAAGGTGGGAAGCAGAGCCGGGGAGGGGGTGGGGAAGTGGCAGCCTGGCAGCACGGCTGGATTGGCAGGAGCCCTGTAAGCAGCTTAGCCTGAGGCTGGCAGCGCTTGGCAAGGGGAGAGGCTCCCCCTGTGCTCGCAGCTCTGAGCTCAGACATCGCCGCGGCTCCGGGGTGCTCGGGAGGGATTTTGGGGGGATTTTGGGGAGGGTGGGAGGGGCAGGTGTTCTGTGAGGGAGGTGGGAGGGAGTGGGGAAGGTTTGATGTGCTTGGGGGTGTAAAATGCTTATACAGCTCTCCAGCTCCTTGGAGCCTTGTCAGACAAAAATTCCCTTCATTTTTTCCTGGGAGCACAATGGGAATCATGGGGATGAGGCTGGAATGCTCCGGTGGTGGCCATGGCTTCACCCAGCAAAGGGAATTTTGGCCATTTGGGTGATCCCCCATGAGGTGTCTCCAATCCCAGCTCTCCAGGCCCTCCTGGGGCTGGAGCTGCTGCTGCTCTCCCCTATTAGGCAATGAGGAATAAAGGGAGAGCCTGGAGTGGCCGTGTGCCCCCGTGCCCAGCTGGCACAGCACAGGGGAGGTTTGGTGGGGGGCTCCAACAGGAGAAGGAAGGAAGGAACACAAAGTTATGGGAGCCTCTGTGCCCTGCTCTGCCCCTCCTGTGCCTGCTGGGCAGGATCCCAGGGCAGCACATCACCCTGGGTGAGGCCCAGCCCCAGCTCTGGCACACGGCCTCATCCTGCAGGGGAGGTGACCCTGATGACCCTGATGTCCCTGCGTGCTGTGTGTGCCTCGTCTGGTTCTCTGCCACCCATTCCTGGCACCCACCACCCATTCCTGACATCCACCATCCACCCAAGGCACCCGTCATCCATCCCTGCTCTCACCCTCCATCCCTGCTCCTGCATCTTCCATTCCTGTTCCCACCATCCATCTCAGTTCTTACACTCAATCCCTGCTCCCTCACCCTCCATCCCTGTTCCCCCACCCTCCATCCCTGTTCCCACCCTCCATCCCTGCTCCCCCACTCTCCATCCCTGCTCCCAGCACCACCCCAGCCCCTGTGACGCTCCTGGAGCTGCAGGATCTCCTCCCAGGCTGGAGAGCATCCAAGGGGCCATTCCAGCTTGGGATCCATGTGGGAGGAAGGTTTGCAGCTCCTTCCTGGAGAGGAGGGAGGGCTCTGGGGCCAGCAGAAGTTTCAAACCAGGTTCTTCTCCCTCTCTCCTGAAGAAGGGGAAGGCAAAAACGGTATTTTGACATTTTTCATGGTCCTGTTCCTCATTCCAACAACCTCTGGAAGAGGAAATGACAGCAGGCTTTTAAAAAGGCAAGAAAAAGGAACTTGAGCTCTGTGTGCACACAAAGAAAACCTTTAAATAAAGGGGGAGGGGACCTGCATTCCATATTTGCTTTATCTTTTTGAACTCGAGATTCTCCTAAGTAGGATTGGGAAAGAAAATTGCTGCTTTGTGGGAAATGGGGCTCTTTTGATGTTTTTCCCCACTGGAACTGGGCTGAAAAATTGATCTCTTGGGAGGAGGAATTTTTGCCTAAGGGAGAAACCAGAATGGCAGAGTCACCATTCCGGGGGTTTTGATGTGGCAGGTTCTGGGATCAGGGCTGATCCCCCACAGGAAACACGAGCAGGAGTTATTCCTGAATCCTTCCAGAACCCGATGGTTTTCCTGGAAACTGAGACTTCGTGAAAAAACCCTTCTGTTGAGATCCATCTCCACAAAAATGCACCCGATTTGGGGTTGTTTCTTTTCCTTGCATGTATTTATTTATAGGAAAAGTGTCCTTGTCATGGCTGGGAGGAGAACCTGGCTCATTGATCCCCAGGAAAGATCTTGGATCAAATGAGATCAAATTTGCTGGGCATGGAAAAGCATCTCAGGGGGGTCTCGTCCTGTGAACAATCCTGGCAAGCTGGGAAGAGCCAGGCAGGGAATGGCTGGAGTGAGCTGGGAGCTCTCAGGGAGAGCCAATTCCCTGCTGCTGCCTGGTTTTCCTGGGAATATTCCCATATTTCTGTGATCCCCAGACCCCGAGCTCCTGCAGGGCCATCGCTTGGCCTTGTCCAAACCACCCAGAGCTGCTCTGCTTGTCCTGTCCTTGTGCTGCCCCGAGCACCTCCCACATCCCCAGGGGAAATCCAGCCTTGCCCAGCTCCTTCCTTCCCTGCTTTGGATTTGGAGCTGGTTTTCCCTTCCCACCAGGAGGACAGGACCCTGCTCCTCGGCTTCCTGCCAGGTTAAGCCAAGCTCCAGGTGCTGCTGGGAGCACATCCTGCTCTTTACAGGAGCTCCATCCCGAGATCCTCCCTCCTCCACTGCATTTCCAGGGCTGGGCAGAGGTTTGGGATGGCCCAGCTCCTCCCTGGGAATGCTGGCACCCCGAGGGCAGAGCACACCTGGAGCAGGGGGGGCTGGCACATTCCAGGGGGGATTATCCACCTTGTCTGGGAACACCAGGGCCAGCAGGGATCCCTGGGATTGCTGAAATCTGCCCTGCCCTGAGGACTCAGCAGCTTCTTCATCCTGCTGGGAGCGAGAGCTGAGGGCTGGGGTGGCTTTGGGATGGCTTTGGGATGGCTTTGGGATGGGTTTTAAGGCAATGAGGTCCCAAGGGGTGTCCAGGCAGCAGATCCCCTTTGGGTCCCTCCCCTGCCCTCCCTGCACACACCCAGGAATGTTCCCTCAAAGAACATTCCCCAGGGGCAGCACAACCCAATCCCTCATTTCCAGCTTCCTGGAAAAGCCTCATCCCAAAATAAAGCCCCTGGACAGAGCAGGAGCTGGGGCTGGCTCTGCCCTGCCAGGCAGGCACCTGCCCACAAATTGCCGGTTGCTCCTCACAAAAACGGAGCTTGAGGAAAAGCCAGATCCCGTCTGATTCCATCGGGCACTTCTGCCACCCCTGGAGAACATCTGGAAACACTTTGTGTCCTTGGCCTGGCTCCAGCCCCGTTCCAGGGGCACCTCTGGGGGCAGAGGGGTCCCAAAGCTGAGCTCTCCCCACCCCATGGAGCAGCTCAATCCCATGGGACAAGGAGGCTCCTGTGGGGGACACAAAAATCCCATTCCCAGTCCTGATATCCCATCCTGCCACCAAAACCCAAGGGATTTGATGGGATGTTGAAATAGAAAGGATTTGGTGGTGGAGGAGAGGGGAGAAGCAGCTGGAAGTTGGAACCAGCCTCTTCCTCTCTCAGCTAACCAGGGAATGGTTTGGCTTGGAAAGAACCTTAAAGCTCATCCAGTCCAGTCCCACCCCTGCCAAAAGCTCCCTCCAAAATCTCATTAAAATCAAAAACAAACCCCCAAAACTCCCTTTAAGAACATGGGCATCCAGCCCTGAGAAAAACCACCGGAGAGGGGGGAATTTCCAATTCCTGGTGCAGAAACTGCAGCCTGGGTGCTTTGTTAGGAGGGGTTTAACAAAACAAGGCTCGGGGCTGGGTTTAGCAGCTGCAGCTGCTGAGTTCTGGCCACAAAGAGACCTCTGGGCCTCCTCCCAGGGCTGTGGGGAGCAGCAGGGGGAAGGCAGATGAGTGTTTGGGTCCCTTGGAGGTTTTGGGAGCTGTTGGATGTGTTGGAGAATTTGCCAAATAAATCTCCTTCAACCTGCGCTGACAGTTTGTGCTGAGCTTAAGCAGGCTGGGCTTGGGGGTGTCCAGGTGGTTTCCTTCAAAGGCTCTGGCAGTCCAAAATGTTTTCCTTCATTCCAGGTGATGGATGGCTGGGAATTATCCCCCTCCCTGCTCCAGGAGGGCTGGACAGGATCTGAGGGAAAGATGTTCTTGCAAATAACCCAAACCAGATTCCAGCTAAATCACTTTGGAGCCAAAGCACAACCTCTGGATCCCAAATGTTTGCTGTCCCTCCTTTCCCTCCTCCAGGATAAATCCCAGTGGGATAAATCCACCAGCATCCTTAAAGGATGAATCCTTCCTTCACCCCCACACCCCTAAAAACTCCTACCAGGAATAAATTTAAGACCCCTTCCCACACAAACCAGTCTGGGGTTCCATGATCTGGAATTTTGGAGGGAGATGGAGCCTTGTCATGGTCCTGTGCCATCATCCCAAGGATCCCTGTGGGAAGCAGGGAGGAGGAGTACCATGTTCCCTGGACATGAAATCCCTGGAATATTCCTTCAGGGAACAACAGCCCCTTCCCAGCAGGAGCAGGCATGAGGGGCTGCAAATTTTGGGGCCATTTCACAAGGAAAATGGCCTGAAAAATCAGATTTTTCCCCTCAAAATTCAGCTTTTGGGTTCCCATCCAGTTAGAACCATGGAATATTCCAAACTGGAATATTCCAGGACTCATCCAGTCCAGCCCTTCAGGATCAAGGTTTGTTTGCCTTTGGTTTGGGGCCCTTTCCGGGACTAGGAAGGGCCCAGCCCCGAAAACCCAAACAAAGCCCAAATGTTTAAGGCTCAAAGATGAAAAGAATAAATAAAGGAAAAAAGGAAAAAAATCAAGTTTTCCAGCCTTGTGCTGTGGGATTGGCCAGACAGGGAGTGTTTATTGGAGTCAGATGAGGAGGGCACAGGAAGCTTTGGGGACCTGGAGAACCCAAAGGGACAACGAAACAACTTCAAATTGGGGCTTGTGCCTCGCCCAGCCTGCCCTGCCTCAGTTTCCCCAGGAAATGAGCCCTTTGAGGACCCTGTTGGGCTGTTCTGGAGAGCAGAGCTGGGCTGGGAGCCATGGAAAGGATATTCCAGGAGTTCCCTCCCCTCTGGGATGTGGGGAAATCCTCGCTCTGCTCTTCCTGCCCACACCCGGACCCCCAAGCACTGAGAGAACCATGGAATATTGTCCTGGAATCATGGAATGGTTTGGATTGGAAAGGACCTTAGAGCGGATCCAGCTCCATGGGCAGAGACCCCTCCACTATCCCAACATTTTCCAGCTCATTCCAGATGTTTTTAACCAGGCAGGATAAAAGAAAACCCGCCGAGTTTCACTGCTTGGCCCCACCTGGGCATCAGTTCCTTGGAGCTGCGACTTCCAGCCAAAAAAAACCCCAGGATAAACCCAAATCCTTCCCCTCTCCGGCAGAACAAGGGATTAGAGCTGCTCGGTGCCGTTCCCTCTCCCGGGAATTACTCCCCGAGCACAGCCATCATTCCCATTAGTCCCTAATTTGCTGTTAATGGAGCGCTTTAAT